CCTGATCCTGCCCTGTGGTGAGCTCTCCTGAAACCAGCAGACATTCAAGTATGTTCAAGCTCACCTGCTCGAGCTATCAGCATCCTAAGAAACCACTGCCATGAAAATATCACAGAGGTGACAGACACGCAGGAACTCAAGGGAAAAAGAAACTAGAACTCCGCTGCTCAAATCTAGAGCTGGAAAGGTTTATTTTTGTCAAATGGACTTTGAGCATTCACGCTTCAGAGGCCTTGACAGCTGCATCAGTTCAAAGGGCACAGAGCGCACCACCTCCTCTCTTTTCACTGCATGGCCGAATTGGAAGATTTATGGTGGATCTACTCCAAAGATGTACGCTTTCTGTTTGGGTTGTTCCTCCACCACCCACATTGTCCTAGCGATGATTCATGATGTCCATGTGGCCACCATAAGAGTTTGGCAGAGGAAAGCACAGTCCATTTGCACTTTTCTCCCAGGGAAACACAAAACTCCTCTATCACTCACAGCAGAGCAGCAGTAACCAGTACACAAATGGGAGTAAACACAATGCAACCAACAACATCTGACTTGCAAATTATTACATGACAATTAAAACAAATAAAAGGGGGAATTCCAAACCTTTTCTTTTTTTAACTGCATTGTAAGATCTGGGCCGCAACCAAACACTAACACCCTTGACCTTCAGCATATTCCAAATCCTTGATAGCCGTAAGACTGCTTTTCAAGCTCTCTCTTCCAGATCAAAATTAGAAGAACACATGCACTTCAAAAACGTCTATGTGTACAATCCAACCTAGTTGCTCCCCCGACCTGTTTTTATTCAGCTGGGCTCAGTTATGTGTTTCTGAATTCAGATCTTAAAACTCTTTCAGCCAAACTCTGCTTTTGCGTGCTGGACTGACTCTACCGAATTCATGAGTTCCCCTGGCTTACAGCACCCACAGATTACAATCTTTCATCAGGAAGAGATAACCTTAAAAAGAACTCAAAACTATAATGCTTGCATGTTGGCGAACCTTATCATTAAGAAAATGAATGCTATTTATGCATCAGCATTTCAAACGCAAGTACTTCATCCCCTTGCTCGCACACGGAGCACTGAGCTCCCAGCCCCTTCGGTTCACTTCCTGCTGCCATTTCCTGTCGCAAGTCTAAAATGAGAGACTTTTACAGACTTCTCATTGGCGAGCTCATTGCAATAGTTTGTAGTTCATGTAATACAACAAGGCAGTTATTTTCATAATGACATCCCAGCATAATTTGGGGAATATTCTTTATTTTCCAGGTATTTCTAGGGAAAAATATACATGTCTGTAGTGCTGTGTAACAGAGAAGTAAAAACTGTTCATTATTAGAAGCATGCTTAGAAGCATGCCTAGAAGCATGTTGGATTTCGATCACAAATATGAACAGTTCTATGTTTCTCTGCGTTGCTAGTAGTGAGTGAGGAACTGCCTACAAGATCCAGGGGAAATTGAAATAGGTTTTGAGTGTCTGCCTGAGGGATAAAACCTAATTCACAACTGTGAGCCCCAACAGCAGTTTCCTCAGTTTTGTAACGCATGCTGACTGCTACCTCCTCAGCACCCGCTTCATTGCAGGCACTGATCCAAACCCCAGATTCAAGGTATGCCCAGTTTTTGGAGTCTATGAAACAATTAACAGGAGAACGTCTCACTGCACAAAGATACCTGCACAAAGGTTTTTGGGGAAAAAAAGAGTCCAGCTACTCTCGTCTTAAACGCTGGACAAATGAGCCAAGTCAAGGAGCTCTACGGAGTACGACATGCCGAAAGCTATTAGACGCTTATCTACACTGCTGCTCTCACCCTTGTCATTACTAGTAGAGCTAAAACTGGTGGCAAAAGTGGGAAATCAAATACCACTTGCTAGCACAGACAAGCCTTGTGAGCTGTTAAAATGAAACTCAAAGCAAACCATGTTTCCCCTGTGAGCTGGTGCATCTTCCTGCCTTCACAAAGGTGCGATTCTTTCACAGGCTCCCCAGGGCAGCGTCGTGCTCTGGAAGAGGGCGCGACAGTGACAGGGTCAGGCCAGCGATGCACTATCCACCCACCGGGATGTTTATTGTGGCTTACTTTGCTTCTGAGCAGCTTATCAGTGCTTTTTGCAAGGTGCTGTGCTGATCGGATCTGCAACGAGCGAGCTCCCCGAGGCAAGCGCAGGATCCACCTCCTCCTTCCACGCAGTCACATTTCTAATTGATAAATCGGGCTGCAGAACTGGGCCATTTTGTTCTGTGTTCATGCAGCCTAATGCAATGACAACTAAGCATGGACACAGTAATGATAATTAAAATTGTCTACAGTTTATAAAGAGGGAAGCGAAAGTCGGAGGTACATAAGATCCTAATTTTCAGGCAGGCTGGGACACTCATTAACCTCTGACAACGCAAGCACAAAGGCTTAATTCTCAATCTGCTGCAGTCAGCCAGAGTCAGAACAACATGATTTGCATATCCAACTTAGCTCCTTAACCTTCCTCACCTTAAGATATACCTATTAAAGAAAGCAATCTTCACCTAAAAGCACTTCAGGGCGTAACTGTAAGAGGTATCGCTGCATTATAGAACAGTGCATGGATACACAGAGAACAAGCTCGCCTCCAGCACAGAGCAGAGTCCCCCCGCTAACCCACTGCAAGCTACACAGACTTCTGACTCAAACCAAAGATTTGTCTCTGGGCCTCCCACCCTCTAAATTCCCCCTCTGCCAACCATTTATTCAAAGTCCAGCAGACTGAGACTGCCTGCAGAGGCCGAGGGGCGGCGGGGGAGGCAGGATATGGAACACCATCATGCAAATCCCTGCTCCAGACTGGGCACTGCCGCTGGGATAAGTCATGCCTCTTCGCTACCAGGAGGTAAAAAAAGAAGAAAAAAAAATGCAGTTTCCCCAGCATTGAAGAAAAGCTTTAGATTTAGTGTGGAAAACGTTGTTGTTCTTTTTACTTTCTAACATCTGTTCCAGCCAGAGCCTTCTCTGCTCTTATATGGAAATAGGGGCAGGGCGGTTTGGATGTTTCCTCGAAATGGCATTAAGAGCTACCTCCTTTTAGTGTATCATCTCCTGTAGTTACTGCAAAACATTCTTGGGACAGGTACCGTCGCGGGCTGCCAAGCATGTTCCCATGCACCTTCACGATTCGCTGACATCGACGGAACAGTGGCAGCACAGTGGGAAGGAATTAATACACGGGCTTAAAAGGAAATACAGGGTGCCAAGAAAATTGCTCTGACTGCACAGGCTCATCTGAACCTTCACAGTTCAGAGGCCCATAGCCTTTCGTTCTTGGTGTAAAACAGCATGGCTTGCTGGTGGTGTGGGAAGAAACTGGGACCCACAGCATGCTTTTTTTCTATCCCCCCTGTCACCAGCTGATGCCCACATACATTCATTTTTGGCTCGATTCTTCCTTTTTGCCAAAGGCATTACCACATAAATCATGCACATTCTGTTCACTTGGGTGATGCAATTTCTTAAATCCCTTGCGAGTCACTGGATATATCGCTTAAGCTGCCTCTACCTTAGTTTACCAACAGAAAACTTAGGAGCAACACGTTTTCTTAACAGCACGAAGGGAACGCAAAGTTTACATAAACCAGGCTGCTGCCTTTTCATACTGCAGAGTCCTTTGTCTTGCTGAAATCAACAGGAGTAAAGGATGGCAGAGTCTGGCCCTTCGTATTTGCGAAGTGCTTTTTTGATCCCTGGACATTGTTATTATCCTTGCAGAGCACATTATTTAGAATATAAAAATCAAGCCTAATGAAGGGTAAATTAAAGAAGTCCAGACCATTTACAAAGAAACAAATGTCCATTTGCAAAAGCCTTAGAAAATCCAGTAAAATACACATACCGCTTAGTGAGGTGAGATGAAATGCCTGCATGCGTATGGTATGAGAAAAGAAACAATTCAGCTCTGAAAAAACAGGTAACTAACTACAGCAGAATGCATTTGCTTGCGTTTCCTCATGTAAACAAGAAAACCTGGATTTCTGCTGCCCACCTTAACCATTAGATCATGCCAAGCATATTTTCTGGGGTCAGGTATTCTTTGAGTTAGAAATCGAGTGATGTTTATTATAGCATGCCATTATGAAAACACAATAAAGAGAGCTCAGCAAAGGCAGTAAAGGTGATGCTAGGCAACCAAATAACTCCCAGTAACCATTCTTTATTCCTATTATTTATATTCATCCAACACCAGTCAGGGTTTGGGAACATCTTGTACTGGTTCTGTGCAAGTTGAGCAAATAAGTAGACAAGATGAAAGTAGAGAATCTACAATCTGCCACTCATTCCCCCTTCACGGTTGCTCAAGAGCTAGCAAGATTATCTGAAAACTTCGGCAGAATATGTTTTAGAAGAAGCAGTTCTACTGGAAAAGTAGCATTGGGCTGTAACAGGGGACTTTGAATTGAATTGAATTTGATTAGTTTGCTACACTCTGAGCCTATATAAAAATATCTGAAAAAATATGGAAGATGAAGTGATGTATTCTTGTATCTCAGTATGCATATAAAAATAATTTACTTTGATATAAAAATACGCACTATGCACATTTTCCCCCACAGACTTGAAAATGCAACCTTTGCCTGTAGTTCACATCAATAAAAACCACTCGTTTCAATGATGATTTCTACAGTAGTGTTCCCTAAACATGAGAGTAAAAGAGCATAGAGGAACATGTAACAGTCATCCCATTTCTTTGATAACTTATCCTGTTGTTGCTGATTCCCAGTGTCTGTATTCTTGTGAACTTTCCCCATGACATGGCTTTGATTTACTCTTCAACAGTGCCTGAAAGGCCGATAATGCAAATATTTGCTCCCAAGTCTAATTTTACTCACACGGTTAAGTCAAGCGATTTGGTTTTACTTACATGAACTTGAATGGAATTACTCACTTGAGTAGAGCTACTCATAACCACAAATCTTAGGATGAGACCATGAGACACAACAGCACTACAGCTTTGCCTTATCCCATTAGGGACAGTTAGGAAAAAACTGCCTTACCTGACGTTTTCTCTGTGAACACCACCTTGGACTCTGCTGTGAAATTTTGTCCGGTCAGGATCATCTGTTGTCCTCCATAAACAAGGCAGCTATCAATATCTTGTCTTTCAACCATTGGAAGTTCATGAGCAGACCTTTGGGCTGTGGACAAATTGCAGACATGAATGAAACCAACTCTGTTTTACCAGGACTTTCCAAATCTTCCCAGAACTATCCACAGATCGATCTTGTCATCGTTACCATCCGTTGCCTGCCAAAGCAGCTTCTCCAGGGTGCTAAATTTAGGTTTGAGAGGGAAAAATAAACTTACTCAAGGCATTTTATTTGGAAACATTCAGGAGCTGGCTGCAGTGTTTCAGCTGTGCTGGCCTTACTCCTTGTCCTTGAAAAAGGACAGCTTGGATGAATGAGCTGGAACTTGCCCATCTCTGTTTCCAAATAAATGGCCAAATTTTCAAGTGCAGGCACACTACAGCCCTGGAGCCCAAAAATTCCACCTGCAGAGAGGATTCCACTGAAAAACACTGAAGTCCTTCAGAAAAAAAGAAAAACAAAAAAACCCTTCTACAAAAGCCCACCACCTCCTACAGAACAGGCACTACATCAGGCCTGGAACAGTCCATTAGCCAACAAAAGCACCATCTCCACGTGCAGGCACCAAGCCTTGTGCGCACAACAAGAGGGGCAATCATGAAGCCACGTTCACATCGGCGAGCAGCAGGGGTCACACTGGGACTCTGCTGCAGCCCGGGCTTTTTGCAAGCATGTTTTGCAGAGGCCTGAATGTCTGAGGAGCAAGGCCCTGTGTTGCAGACTAAGTTTGCAAAAGGCAAAGAAAAAAAGGTAGGGTGGAATCCAGATGGGCATGCACATAATCAAGGATTTCTAAGGTCTTTACTGTTCTTGGCCACAAACTTGGAGTATGACTTTGGCAAGTTATTCTCTCTTTCCCCAGCCAGAAAACCAGGATAGCACCATCTCTCCACCTACTTTCCTCTCATCCCATTAAAACAGCCACTTGCATGGTCAGAAAAGCTTCGGAGATTCCTGGTCACCATCCCTGCAAGCCCATTCCAACTGTTTGTTAACAAGCGTCAGGAGCCGCAGAAAGTAAAGATGCGAGAATTGTTCCCTACAACGCAGACAGCTGGAAAATATCATGAGCTTCCCTGTGACCAGACCAGGTGGGCAGCAGTTTGGGTCTGGTGAACTGTGAGTTCATGACCTGCACTCAAACTCCTCCAGATTCATCCACCCCAACTGGAAAAGCCTCTAGAGGATGCCACTCATCTATTTAACAGCTGCCTTGGCTGGATTTTAACTTTCTCTGACAAAGAGCCTGCTCCCAAGAGACCCTGAGCACTTGTGTCTTCCCTTCACTGAACACCGTTGGCTGCTGAGCCAAAAATAAGGAAATGTTATCCCGTACGTTCAGTGCCGGTCCTCCACTTGCACACAGGCAAGGCTGTGCTTTCTGTGACCTGGTCCCAGCACCCTTCTACTGCTGTGCAACCTTCAGAAAGCCAAAACCCCAACAGCTCTTGGCCATGGTGAGAGCTGTACAGATTCTCTCACAGCATGAAGAAAATGCTATTTGGTGGGAAAACACAAGCATTAAACCTTTCAGACAGGTATCTGTAGAAGAGGGGAACAACTTTTCTAGCAAGGAGAAGCTCAGCCAAACCCTTTCTGCCAGTCATGACACAGAGTTTTTGCTCTTGTTAAAAATATAGACAATGCAATATTTATAACTTTCTTGTGCCATTTGAGAGGCATTTTTTAAAGTCTATTTAAAACAACATTATGACTCATTGTTCCCTGCAAATATATAACAACAGCTGGGCTAAGATACTGCCAATTAAGAATATATATTCAGATTATTTTCACAGAAGCTGCTAATTTCTTTCACATGGCTGTATGATTAATTCCTTTCCCTAAAAACTCAAATTTTTTATGAGTTCATAATTGGATTTATCACAAAGACAGACTTGTAACCTCAAAGGCTTAAGAGTAAATAGCAATCATCAAAAACATCTCTACAATAGTCAAGACAAAATGTATTTAAGCTTTGCCCTGGACACTGTTTATTCCTATTCAATCCCCAAATTTCACTTCCAAAGCATCCCGAAACATCAATATTCCAGATTAACCTATGTCTCCTTCAGACTTCAGTGTGTTAGTAGAGAGCTTTGTACCTGACATCCCACAGATCAGTGGTTCTCAAGGCTTTTTCAGGATGAGGAAGGACAAATTTTAGCCTGGAAATAACCGTCTGACTCATCTTAATTACACTTGGATCTCAGCAAGTTGGAAATCGCTGCTGAAGACCAAGCCTCTGTCCAACTTCCATAGAGCGCAGTGTTTGTGTACGCTGCGACCTACCAGGGAGCCGGGGAGGACAGGCAGTTCACAGGGAATGTGCATCCCAGCTCTTAGGAAATGCCAAAAACCCTTCTGCCATCCTCAGCCGAGCTGGGGTGGCCTCAGCAGCGCTGCCTGAAAGCCTGCAATGGGCAGAGGTGTTCTGCAGGTACCCCAGTGCAGCTCCGTGCTGCCACGGCCCCATGGCCAGCAGCAGCCAGGCTGATGCAGAGCTACGTTCAGGCATGGCTACAGCATGAGTAGGCTACAGGTATGTCCAAAACTGCTTTTGCCCTGACCCAGGCTCAGTCACCCCTGTAGGTGTACAAAACCCACATGTGCTTTATACGTGCTGCAGAATAATATCATTTAGAAGTGCTTCAGTTGAGTTTCTCAAGCAGATAGCATGCTAAAGGGAAAGGTGGAGCAATACAGGTACCTACTGAGTGCTGGGTTTCCTCTGCCCTGCTTTGTCTGCACTCTTCTCCTCCCACTAGGTGGTCTGCAAACCCTTTTCTAAAAAAAAATCCAGTTTTCATTTTCCAAGATTTTTCTTTTTTTTTTACCCAGGCCTATAACAAGCTTTCACCCCATTCTCCATTTCCACCAGTGAGGAGGCTCAAGGTTCAGTGTGGAGCTGCCTCAATAGGATTACTTTTTTTTTCCTCTGCAAGAAATATTAATTGCCAATAAATCCCCTTCCTCCAAGGCTCATGATGGGTGGACTGCATGCAATAATTTCACACTATTCCTTCTCTTCCCCCAGGGGTTGGCACTTCATAAAGTGACCTACAGCTACTGGAGTTTATGAGCTTTGAATAAACAAAACACTGTTGATTTAACCAGTTGGGGTGTTTACTTTCAATAGCAACAGTTACTGACATAAGGCAGCAAAGCAAATGCTATAGAAATGCTCACACTTGGCCTGCAGCAGTGTGTCAACCTATTAACAGGGGACATTATTTTTCTATTTTATTTGACTGTCTGCAAATCAAGATGTCATGGATGCGTGGTGCCAAGAAATACAACGCACGCAGCGACACAAGAGAGAAAGGGAGCTGCTGTCTTGGAGCGCTGCACCACCTCCAGTGAGCCTCAGCCTGGGCGGGACGCAGCCCTGCTGCTGCCTCCCCTGCCCGCGCCGCCCGGCAGGCTGCTGCCCACAGCCCACCCAGGCTCACCTGCACCCGCTGCAGGGGCACAGGGCGCTTGTCGGGGGCTGAGCCTTTAGCCCCTTCCCTGTGCCAGCAGGTGGAGGAAAGGTTAAGACAGCCTAAACCTCTGGGCCGGCAGGCTGAACGCTTCACAGCGGATGCACAAGCCTGGAGGCTGACGGTAAGGAAGCGTGCCAAGGCAGGGCAAAGGTATTTCTTGCTTCTCCACCTGCCCACGGCATCCATAACTGTTCCTTTTTCAGCAGAGAGGCTATTTGGTTTCTAGGGCAAAAAAAGGCATATTTTGAGACAACTGATTACCTGGATAAGTCTGCTGTGGCACCAAATCTCCCCCAGGAGAGTATTGCCCATTGCTGCTAGCAGGTTCCAAGTGACAACCTCAGCTGTATTCCCTAACGTGCTCCTTAGGTGACCCCAGCTCCACCTGAGAGCCCCTTTCCCTCCGCACCGCCCAGCTCTCCCCGTCAGTGCTTCTCCTGCACGTCTCTCCTGGGATGAGCAGTTCTAGCCCTGTCTGAGCATCGTGTTTCCTTCCACCGGCTTGGAGGGCTTCCAAGTGCTGCCTTGTCTTGCCCAAAAGCTGACTTGTTTTATGAGGAGTCTTAACTGAAGCTAAATGTCTCCTAACAGCCTCCAGAGAGGAACCGTCTTGGCAATCTCTCTCCCTGCATGTGCAATCAGAGGGAGGGCTGGATCAGGTAATGTAGGCAAAGCAAAAACACTAACGTGATCTGCCTCTTGCGAGGAACAGGCTTGTGAACTCTGCGCAGAGCAGCACGGGTCTGAGCATCACTGCCAGAGCCAAGACACTCTACAGCCTCCATGTGTCAGCACACTAGCTCAGTGCCTTCTTCTGCAGAGTGGCTGGAGGCCTCCATGCAAACGTCTGCATAAACAGAGGCCAAAGATAGCTGCTAGAGTGAAATGTGCTCCACGCCATCTTTCTGCCACCTGCAACAGTGGATCCAAAGCTTAGGTTTACCTGTTGTCTCTGTGACCAGTTCAGGAGAGATCTTATCCTGGATGATCACAAGGAGCAGGATTGAGGCTCACCTGCAGCTAGCATCATCTCTAATTACCTCTAACTGCCATCACAAGCCAAGTAAACCAAAAAATGTGGCTACTTAAAAGAGGTGGGGTCATGACCTGGACCTCCAGTGCAGCAGTCTCCCCGGGCGAAATGTCCAGGTCCCTCTTTAGACCCCCCCCGACCCCATCCTTATCCTGCCCAGGGCAGTCCCCAGCTCAGCCCAGTTTGCTGGAAGCCTTCAAGCCATGACTCACCACTCCTGATAGGTCTTTCCAAACCCCCAAAGGCTCTTGGCTCCAGCCACTGATTTCTGTTGGATTTGAGAAGAGCAGATAGAGCTGGGTGTCTGAAGCTAAATCCCAAACCCTAGATGCAATAGCAGAGGTGTAATTTGTTGTGGGATTAATTCTTCCACCTCAGTGCAAACCTCAATGAGCCAAAGTCAGTATCTCATTCCTCCTGTCACACTGTGTTTATTTACCATGAGCTGCCTGCCCGAGGGAGGATGGGTAGGAGCAGAGCTTCTGTGCCCAATGCTTATCCAATGCATTAATGTCCTGAGAGACTTTGATCCC